TCTTCGTCAATGGTTTTTATGTGTGTAATTTAAGCCATATTTTACCACAACAAGAAAACAAACTATGTAAGACCATGTAACTGACAAAGCAACACAGAATGCTGGGGCTGGTGACCCAATACTTGACCCCACGACAGCACGTGAGGGCACTAAGGCTTGTTCCCTCTGCAAACACTGCGGAGTTCTCACATGGTTCTACTTTCGAAGACAAAATGTATGGATCCATATCTGTCTCAAAACATTACAAGAGGGGCACCTGGTGGCTCAGTGGGTTAAGCCTCTGCCTTCAGCTCAGGTCATGATCCCAGAGTCCTGGGATTGAGCCCCGCATTGGGCTCTCCGTTCAGCAGGGAGCCTGCTTCCCCCTCGCTCTCTCTCTGTGTGCTGCTCTATTTGTGATATCTCTCTGTCAGATAAATAAATGAAGTCTTTAAAAAAAAAATTACTACAAAACACGTCATTGCTATCTTGAACCGGAATCCCCGGGACTGCCTTGGTGGACACCAGGGATTCTAAATCACCGGCTGGAAAATGGACCTTTCCTGACTCCACAGTTGAATGATCTGGACAATTAGAATATAATACGTTCACATCTACCCTCCTGATGCATTTCCCCCACCACTGGTTGCTTGGTCTTCCTCTCCGGCTTGCTAATGCTTCCCACTTTCCTCGGCTGCCGAATCTCATGAAAAAGTACTTTAAATTTGTTACGTCAGTTTTTCTACTCACACAACTTTTCAATCTACCCTAATATAGTTGTTGTACTCTTCTACTAACAATCTTTTTGTTACCATAACCGGTGCTGTCTATGTCACTAAGTCCAGTGGACACTTTCGGTCTCTTAATCATTCAGTAGCATCTGGTTGGTCCCCTCCTCTTTCCTGAAGCACATACAACAACAAGCTCTTCTGGTTTCCATTTATTTCCCAGGTTACTTGTCTTAATGTCTGTTGCCAACCTCTACCTTATCTTTAAAAGGCTTGATGTTTTTGGGGTGCCTGCTTGGCATAGTCGGTCAGGTGTCCAACTCTTGGTTTTGGCTCAGGTTATGATCTCAGGGTTGTGAGATCGAACCCTGTTGTCAGGCTCCAAGCTGAGCATGGAGTCTGCTTCAGACTCCCTCTCTCTCCCTTTGCTGCCCACGTACTCTCTCTCTCTCAAATAAATATTTTCAAAAATGTTGATGTTCTTTAAATGTTGAAGCTCTTTTCTCTTCTTACTGTACTTTTCCCCTAAGTGATCTACCTCACTTACTCACAAGGTTTCAAATATCCTCCTTAGGCCCCTGGAGATTTCTATCTCCAGCCCAGACCTGTCTCCCGAGCAGAGTTCCTATGTCCCCACCCCCCGGCTCCCGGCTTATTTGACATTTCCATTTGTACGAAGCATTGGCACGTTAAATTCAACAGGGCAGAGCTGAATGCTTGGTCTCATCCCAAGCCCAAGAGAGTTCACCCACAAACCTGCTCCTTTGTGGACACTCTAGCTCTCTAAGTGGTATCACTCTGTCCCCATTTCTTGAGTCAGAAACATGGGTTTTATCCTTGACATGCTCCCCTACCCAAGAAAGCCAATCAATTACTAAGTCCTACTGATTTTGCCTCCTACATATTTCCCCAATCCGTTTACTATCATTGTTATCATCCCATCGAGTCCAAGCCATCACCATCCCTTGACTAACTCCTCCAGAAGCTCCCAGCGGAGCACGTGCCAACACCGTGGCTCTGCTCTAACATGTAATCTGCTCTGGAACTGGAATGCCACTTTTTTTTAAAGATTTATTTATTTATTTGAGTGAGAGAGAATGAGAGCACGCGTGCGAGCGAGCATGAGCGGGAGGGGTATAGGGACAGGGAGAAAGAATCTCTAGCAGGTGCTGTGCTGAGCGTGGAGCCTGACACGGGACTTGATCCCATGACCATGAGATGACGACCTGAGCGGAAACCAAGAGTCAGATGCCTAACCCGCTGTGCCACACAGGTGCCCCTGCAATGCTATTTTTAAAATGCAAATTTGATTACCTCATTCTTCAAAAAATTATCTTTAAGTTACTTCTTCTCTTTAGTAAAAGGATAAAGTAAAAGGTCTGTAATAAAAACTTTAAGGCCCTGCCTTTAGGTCTTGCCCTCACCTACCTCTCCAGCCTCATCATGTGTCATTCTTTCCCCTATTCTTTATGTTTCTCTCCTTCCTCAAAAGTCCTACCGCAGGATCTTCAATTTTACAGTCTTCTTTTCTCTTGAACAGGCACTGGCAAACTCATATAGGAGTAGGCCAGACAGTAAATATTTCAGGCTTCAGGGGCCAACAGGTCACAGCCTCTGACTCAAGCACAAGAGAAGCCACAGACAGTATGTGGACAATGAGCACAACTGCATTCCTGAGCCACGCAGTGTGGCCTGAGGGCTGGGGCACCGTCTGCCAGCTCCGGCTCTAGAAGGCTGGCCATCCCTATCCTGATGCTTACAGATTCATCTCAACCATCACTTCTGCCACTGAAACTTTTCCTGAGCAGGTAAGTCCCCTTATTAAAGGTGCTTTTACCACAAAGTATATGTCTCTTTCATAGAACCAATTGTTGCTGTAATTAACTAGAAATTTACGTAATTATTTCCTCTATATTCATCTTCCCTATTAGGCTATAAATTTCATGACAACCGGGGACTGTATTTACTTTGTTATTTTATTCCCAGCATGTGGTGGAGAACATGGCACACGGTAGCAATCGGTAAGTCTATCTGCTGAATGAATGATTGATTAATTTGCTGCTCGGCCTTCAGTCAGCAACTATAGCTTTCTGAGCCTCAGTTATCCGTCTGGAAATGGATGATAGTAACAACTACTTTCCCATTTGTTTCAAGGTAAGATAATACGGCTGAGTGCAGTTTGTGAACTCTAATACAAATTTAAGAAAAAAAAAATAGCAAAATGTCCTGGTTGCCCAGTATGGGATAAACTGCAGCCCAAACCAGGCCAAATTCTCTGGCTTGTTTTGTTGGCCCTCTAGTCATGGATGGTTTTGCTTTCTTAAAAGACAGTAAAATAAAAAAAGAAAACAAAGAAGCCCTTGTGACAGAAACCACATGTGGCCCACAAAACCCAAAATATTTTAGTCTGGCCTAGAACAGTGTCTGAGTCTAAGTACATATATTTTTTTAATTTTATTTATTTATTTGACAGAGATCACAAGTAGGCAGAGAGACAGGCCGGGGGGGGGGGGGGGAGGCAGGCTCCCCGCTGAGCAAAGAGCCTGATGCGGGGCTCGACCCAGGACCCCGGAATCATGACCTGAGCCCAAGGCAGAGGCTTTAACCCACTGAGCCACCCAGGCGCCCCTCTAAGTAAATATTTTTTTTTTTTTTTTTAGATTTATTTATTTATTTATTTGACAGAGATCACAAGTAGACGGAGAGGCAGGCAGAGAGAGAGAGGGAAGCAGGCTTCTCGCCGAGCAGAGAGCCCGATGTGGGACTCGATCCCAGGACCCTGAGATCATGACCTGAGCCGAAGGCAGCGGCTTAACCCACTGAGCCACCCAGGCGCCCCTCTAAGTAAATATTTTAACGAGTAAATAAATGAATGATTAATACCTCCCAAATCCACCCACATTTTAATATTTTGGTGACTGAAAAGCAGTGCCATTTTCCAACTGCCTTTCTTCCCTTCCTTTCCCTTTGAGCAAGTGATCAAAGTTATAAAGTATTTACCCCCTCCCCAAGGAATCTATGTTGACTTTATATTTTTTTTAAAAAGGAGTCTATAAGAATTTTCATTTTCCTCTCAATTATGTCAACAATTGCTTTTGAAACAGAGAAGCTGCGGGGTGTCAGAGGAACAGATAGGAACAGGGGGCTGGAGGCCCAGAAAACCCCTTCAAGCTCGCCCATGGTGCCGTGTACGTGATCACAGCTGGAGCCCAAACTTACAGCAATCCATTCACCGTATGGTGTAAATACTGATGTTTCTTTTCCCCTGGGGAATCCATCATTATATAGAAATTTTAAGTGACACATTTATAGGAAATGACAAGGGGTTGGGTTTATTACAAAGAACTGCACTAAAAAGGAAAGGAATTTGGAGTCAAAGTATCAAGATTCAAGTTTGAACTCTACCCCTTCCTTAACCCGTCCCTTTGAGCAAATCCATTAGTCTCTCTGAGCTTGCGTTTCCTCACCTGGAAAGAGAGTGAATATCATTGGTGCCATTTAGTAGGTGACTAGTAGGAGCCAGGTGCTTAACACACATTTGACCTTGTGTCAAACTGCAAAGTGGCCATTATTAGTCCTAACACATAGATGAAGAAACTGATGCTCAGGGAGGTCACATGACTTGCTCCGAGGGACACCACTAGGAAGAACCAAAGGTTTTGGAGTCAAATTCTGTCTCAAGCAACACCATCAGTGCATATCTGATAAAGATATTTAACCTTTGGGCGCCTGGGTGGCTCAGTCGGTTAAGCATTTGACTCTTAGTTTCAGTCAGGTCATGATCTCATGGGTCATGGAATCCCGTCCCACATCAGGCTCTGCGCTCAGCAGGGAATCCCCCTTAGGGATTCTCTCTCCCTGCCCTCACTCAAGCATGCACTCCCTCTCTCTCAAGTAAAGGAATAAATATATTTTTTTAAAAAGATATTTAATCTTCTTAGACCTTTTTTATGTTTTATCTTACAAAAAACACATTAAAACTAATTTCTATGAAAGTCCTCCATATTACATTACTGACTTACATCTTAAAGGTAGATGGTTTTCCTACAACGCTCTCTGTTACATCTAAGTCGGAGTCTAGAGAATAGTAAAGAGGGATATGCTCTCCCCTTTGTGTATTATAAGAAGTGACGAAAGCACAAAACTCAAGAGCTCAAGAGTATTAGATTTTGAGCACATACCTCACGTGCCACAGTGGCCATGAATTCCATTATTGCGCATCAATTCCATTCTGCTTTTGAACCAAACACCTTCAGTATACAGCATGTCAGTTGATTACTAAAGCTGAATTACCTTTCCTTCATTATCTCATGTAGTCTCCCGTGTTGGACACACTGTTCCTCCAACTCATCATTTCTCCTCTGTAACTTTTCCAGTTTGTCGTATGTATACATTTTCTCTTGATTGAGCTGAGCGATTTCAGATCTAGAGCAGTGAGAACACAGAAGTGACAGACGTTAAAGGTTCTTATCACCAGAGCACAATTTTACTATATAAACTTAGCATTATCTTAAACCCCATACTTAAAAATAACAGTGTAAATAAAAGTTATGTTATGTAAATTGAAATATTTCAGACATTGCACAATGTCTAGTGGAGGGATATATGCATTGCAGGGACTCACGTGGTAGACAGAGTCCACACGGAGAAAGGAAGAGTGACTTACTCTGAAAGAGATGACTTCTTCCAGGAACGACACAAAAATAATAAGGATTCATACTCATACCCCAAATTTACTGAGTGCCTATTACAGGCCAGCCACCACGCTGTTAAAGGAGCAACCCCAGGCCTAATCTCTATGACAGAGCATTGTTTCTTTTAATTAACATAGCTAATGTAATGGCACATGATTAAAAATCATATGGTTCCAAAAGGCATAATAATGAAAAATGGCATTCCTCTACCCGCCCTCCCACCCCATCTCCAGCTTGTCAATGTGAATTACTACTATTCCAGTGTGTAGTTAAAGCAATAGGCATATGTACGTCATGTGACTACCTAAATATTGGTCCTTGCTGTCTCAGTAGCTTATCACGATCACATGCACGCTGGTGTGATGAGGGCTTGGGTGTGGAGTGATGGAACGTCAAGCCATCTTTTCCAGTGGGAGATTTCTAATATCCATGTCTGTCATTCTTCCCTCTGTGGCCATTCTGCTTCTCAAGAGAAGAATTCTCCAGCTGCCTGCTCGCTGGGTCTGACCCTAACCCCCAGTGGTTAAGGAGCCAGTGGGAAATAGACAGGTGGGGATCTCATCTTTCAGAATGCAGACTTCCTATTACTTTCCCTCTGCTATGCTGGGTGCCCCTATTCTAACCAGAGCCTGCTCGTTCAGTGTCTTCAGAGCGGAAGTCCCTGATCTGCTGGGTGGAAGAGGGCCAGCCACTGGCTGTGTGGGGCAGGGGGCGGAACCAGCAACTGTGGCTTCAGTCCTATGTTCCACCACTTCCGTCTTCCAAGTTCTTCTGGCATCCCAAGGGCAGATGAGCTTGCTTCCCAGGCAAACGACCCCTCTGGGGACACATATGGTTCACTTTCCCCCACTTTGCCACCACAGGTACTTTTTACCCAATCTTCTTCCTGCCTTCACACATTTCATGTGGGATCACAGGTATAGCTACTTTGGGGATGACTTATGTCCCTCAGGAAATATGCCACCTCTTCAGAATCTTAGAGGATCACCTCAAGTCTCACGATCTGGAGATCAGAAACCTATCTGAGGAAAACCCTACCGCCATCCTCGCTTTTCGCTCAACATGGAACCTGTGGCCGTAATCTCCTCATGCGCCACTGCCCCACAGGCACCCAAAGTTCAAAGCTCTTGCATAAGAAAATGCGAGCAGTTAAGGACCAGTTTGTCTCTTGAAGGTTAAGTGGGACCCCTGATGCAGAATTATGTCCCTCCAAAGAAAGGATTTCTCCATGAGGTGGGAGTGTCTTTTCTTCCTGGTCAGGGAGACACACGGATTTGCTTGGGGAATTCATCCCCAAGGGCCAATTGGCATCACTGTACAAAGCAATTTCTCGCTTTCCCTTCTCTTCATCCCTCATTTTGTTTTCATCCTGGTTCCAGTGTCACCTCAAAGGAAACTTGCCCCGATTAATACTTCGCAGTTCTCAATATGTCAGCGCATTTTTTGGAAACTACCCCCAGCTTTTCTGCATATATTAGCTTATAATTTATTCCTCTGAACTGTGGCTCGATGCCTCATCTTTCTTACTAGATTATCCATGAGGTCAGGGATTATCTCGTTCAAGCTCAGATCAAGCACTCAGTCTACATTTGCTTCTCCTAATAAGAATTCACTTATATTTGAAATAGTCTAAATCAGTTAATAATGATTCATGTTTCTCTTTTCAAAATCACATACAATATCCAAGAACTTAAGGCAGTTATAAAAAATTGTTAATTGAGTGTTCTTCTAAGAATAGTATCTCCTATCACAACATGCAAAAAAACATTCCAAAAAGACAACAAAATATCCTTAAACCAGATTAGGAAAACATGCAGAAGAGTATTTATCTGTTCTCAGGTTCTTCCCCAGAAAAAAAAAGTCGCTTTTTAAAACAGCATTCACAAGGGAAACAGATTTTTATAATATAAAAATGTGAAACCTTTACACATAAAAAGTTGTAACGTTCGCAGTAGCATTCTTTCTAGAAGCAACCTTGCTCTGCAAACTGATATCTGGAAACTGAATCCAGAAATGTGTCAACAGGAGACTGGCTGCATTACTTACACAAAGGGATATCAAGAGGTTATTCTGACAGTGAGGGCTATCTGGTGGTGGTGGTAATTACTGATAAAATATGATATATTGGTAAGAAAGGAAAATATTTGAAAATCAGCATATATAAAGTGATACCATTTTATAATTTAAAAAATACTCTTTCCTCTCCCCCCTTAAAAATATGTGGAGGTATATATTACATATTAATATGTATTATCTTGAGGTATTAGAATTAGGAATTTTTAAAAAATATATTTTCCTTTTCCATATTTTTTGGGCACATATCTAAGACAAAAAATAAAGTGACTTTAACTGAATCCACTGTGGTCATCATGTCACAATACATGTAAATCACACCATCATGCTGTACTTAATAAACTCAGACAGTGATGTACGTCAATAACTTCTCAATACACCCGGAAAAAAAATTTTGAAAGTCGTTTTGATCTTGAAAAACCTCCGTGAAAAACAAAAGGCACTGGGAACACAATTTTCAAAATTAAAAAAAGAACTGGGAACACGGAAAAAAATGAGACACATGAAGATGAGAAGCATCATTTAATAAAGTGTTATCCCAGTCTCCCTCAAAATTCCAACGAATTTTAAGAGGAATATGAAAAATATTCACAGAGGAAGAAATAGAAAAGGTCAATCAACATTTATAAAATTCTCAACTTCTACTATTGTTCAAAATGTGCATAACAAAGCCAGATTCCAGTTGAATATTTGTTTAGTGCATGCGTGCCTACTCTGTCAGACAGTGGAATCCATCCTTTATATTAATGATCGCAATTAATTCTTCAAGGTCAGTGTTTATTTCCTTTTCACTGTGAGGCAAATAGAAGGTTTAATGACTTGCCTGAGGTCACCCAAAGGGTGATTAGCCCAGTCCAGATACAAACATTGGCCTGCCCAGCTCTAAAGGGGTTGTCCCAACCACTGTGCTATACTGCCTCTCATGTTTTCTTTTGTAAATCTCACCTCTTTGTGTCACATACTGCATGGGTACATGTATACCGAGAATCTAGTATAGTACTTGAGCAAAATCATCCACATCAATAGCCTTAAAAAGGCTCATTATTATTGAAACAGAAAAAAGACAGGTCAGAGTCTCTGGACCCACAATCCCCTTTTAGGCATCTCAGCTAAGGGAATCATCAAAAATTCAGAGTAAGGGACAAAATTATTATTGTATTATTCATAAATATTATTGTATTATTCAATACAATTATTATTATATGGAAAAACTGGGAATATCTTAAATGTCTAATGAATTATTATGCATACAAATTATTCAATTAAAATGGTTTCCAGAGTAGTGAATGTAGATAAAGATTCACCAGATAACAATAAGTGAAAAGCAGGATACCATCAGGTGCATGTATGTGTACATACATACGTACACACTTACATCCACACACAAACTTAGTGCAAGGAGATACCTCACAGATGAAGAATACTTTGCTAGGTGGTAATGTCATAGGAAATTTTTTTCTTAATTTTTCTTTGTAGTTATAGCCAAATGCCCTACATTGGGGATGCCTTACATGACCACAAAAAGATAAATGTAAAGTGCACAGTATTATCAAGTATTTCATGGCTGATTTTTTTTGTTTGTTTTGCATATTTTGGGGGTTTTATTTCCCTTTGTTTATAATGGTAATTTGCCTTCCAACTTGCAGTGTTGGATAAAAATTTGGCAAATGTCCATGGACATCATCATTTATCTGTCTAGGGCCCGGGATATATTGAAAGAACTAGTAGTTTGCAAAGTTCAGAGAGTAAACTTCAGCACAAGCCTCTGTGTTGGTTCCAGATTACATCTGTAGCGCGATTATCTCAGTGTCATATAAAAAAATAATTGTCTCTAACCCATTTTTATAGAAAATGTAGGTAATTTCTGGCTTCACAGAAGCATGAACTTCTCCCTGCATTTTTATATACCCGTTACACTGTGTGATGGCACTTGCACCAAGTATAATATTTTACTACTACAATTAGGATTACAGAGATAATTGCTTTTTTTAAGGGAAAACCTAACCCCTTACTTTTTTATTCTTTTAGATTCTCACTTGGTTTTTGGTGACAATTAGCAGAGGCCAGTACGAGTCTCTCCTTGTAGAATATAATTTTTGTAGCATCCCAACCTAACATCGTCTAAACATGCGGGGGGAAAAAAATAGTTCAGCCGGGTGTGTGTTCTTTACTTCAATTAAACTCACACAGTTGGATACTGACTGTTGCCAAAACAGTAATATAATTTATACATTATAGTCCACACAGTAAAACTACACTAAAAGTCATTTAACAATATTTATAACACCATAAAATACAGTGTTAAAATATATGAACTGCAATATGTACCAAAATTATAAAATTTGTTTCTCATCATCAGTGATTAAAACCAGGATCATTGCTCTAGCCTCAATACCCACAACTCTGGTGACAGATTAGAATTCAAATCTTAATGATCAATTTACAATTAACAAGATAGAAGTGAACCAAATTAAACCAACCATTATATATAACGAGACCCAATGGACTCCCATTGTTCCTCTGAATTACAAAACGCGAATCACAGATACACAAGGGGCAGTGTTAGACATCGATCCGCAAGCCTAGCAACCCAGAAAGTGACAGTGATGGGAAAAGAAAGAAGAGACGCAAACCACCCCGTAGTCCGGGGTTCTGTCCTCCCTTGCTGGCCTGTCTCTCCAATATCGGAGTGCGGAGGGGCTGCAACCCGGCCCAGGCTTGATTGCCACCCCCCCCCCCCCGCCCCCGCAGCGGGCAGAGGCTCTCTCCTCCCCGCGCCCATCACTTCTCAGCTCTTCCCAGGCCGAGGTCTCAGCCCTGCAAACTGCACTGCAAACATTTTACTGCTGATTCATCCAAGCGCCTGCGGAGAGGGAACACTTCCCTCACTTTGATAAACAGGAATCACAGTTGCACCAAAGATATTTCAATAGCTCCACTTACCACCCTCAGAAACAACCCCAGGACTGTAATAAGTCCCTGGGGTCCCGGGGAATAAAGACGAAAGGGTAGCTAAAGTTTACGAGAGCGTCAACTACAATCAGCCAGCGTGCCTGCCTGGTGCCAATTAAAAGCAAAACGGAATTAATTGTCCCGTCTTGTGGTCAGAAACCAGCTCTAGCAAATGCACGGAATCGGCAGTTCATTTTTAGTTCGAAATTGGGCCGTGCCATTCACGAACCCTGGAGTTACAGATACCACCCAAGCCGTGTGGAATGCGCCGGGCAGAGAGTACCAGGCTGATCACTGGGGAGGGCTCGCAGACAACGGGAGCTCAGGGCGCTGCCGTAATACCACGCACATGACTTGGGGAGAAAACACGTATGACGGGCGCACCCGGAGGGACCGTTTCTAAACCCCTGCACAGGGCAGCCTGAGGCTGGGGTAACGAGTCAGAGCTTCCGCACAGTGAGCCCAGGCTGTCAGCGTTCCTAGGGACAGCATGGGCTCTGGTCAAATGGCCAGATCTGCGAGTGAAAGAATAAAGCTTATTATAAACGGTGTGAGCCATTCGGTTAGTCCGGGACTTATAAATAATGGAGAAGTCCTCGAGAAACGTCCCGAGTAAGGAAAGGGGAGCCGCAAAAATTGTTCTTGATTGTTGAGTAAAACAAAATAAATGCACTCACTTTGAAGAAAAATTTTACTGTAGTATTCTGAGGGAAAGCTGGCTCGAAATTACCGTGAGGTTTCATTGTGGACACTGAACTTCCACAAGGATAACACTTCAGGAAGCTCAAGAATCTCCAAGATTTTCCTCACCTCAAAGCACAGGAAAAAATCATTTATCCCCAAAGTTTAGTACAGGGTGTACAGAAGGCTTCTAGAGGGCTTCATAAATTTATACTCTTTATTTAAAAAGAAACATTCAGGGCCCTTCAAGTTATACAGGTGAATTCAAAGCAAAAGGTAATGTCAAAATCAAATGACACATTTTGTACGAAGTTTGAAAATGTCATCCTTTTCGTAGAGGGAGCCAGAGGGAAAAGAGACTCCGTGGACAAGAAATTAAGAGTCAACAAATGACCAATCTTAAAATCAGTTTATCGTATCTACCACAGTCTCACGAGACACACAAAATGAGTATTTTATAAACTTCGGGGGCTCTTAAAAATTTTAACCATAATAACAACTTTTTGAGTGTTTACAAGGGCTAGGCCTGCCCTTGTTTTGGATAAACTTGCAAAGATGCAGCAGATGCCATTTTAATTCTTCAGATTTACGAAACAGGCCATCCCAGAGCAGGACTCCAAACACAACCGGACCCACAATTTCCCGATTCTGCTTTGCCTTTAAAAAGGCTTTCCTTGTGATATAGACTTTATGTCTGTCAGAATGGCACTCAGACCCTCCGTGGAAAAGACAATAATAGCTAGGTCAAAGTCAAATCCAAACTGGCCGAGTCAAGACCCTGAAAACCGTGCCATCTGCTGTGGTTCTGCTCCTGTGTGTCAAACCCCGTGCAAGGTGCCTTCCATTTTTGCGTATGCATATGTGTGCACCTGTATATTTCTCAGTATTTCTCATCCCCACAACAATCCTGCAACACGGTTTTAGAAATGTCTTAGGGGCGCCTGGGTGGCTCAGTCAGTTAAGCATCCGACTCCTGGTTTCGGCTCAGGTCATGATCTCAGGGTCAGGCTCCACACTGAGTGTGGAGCCTGCTTGAGATTCTCCCCCTCTCTCTGCCCCTCGTCCCCCCAACCTTCATATTCTCTCTAAATAATAAATAAAAATAAATTTCAAAAATATACATATCTTAGGGATGGAGAAGTTGAGGTTTGGAGAGATTCAGCATGGTACCCAAGGTCATGCGGCCAGGAGGCAGAGTAAGATTTGAACCGAGTTCTTTCTGGATTCCAAAGTGGTTTTCACTGCACCCTGCCTGTCATCAACGCAGGAACAGGTTGGGACCAGAGCCAGGTCAGGATACGAGGGATAAAACCAAACTTGTTTCATTCACTTAGTAAGTACATACTGTGTGCCAGGTACGCATCGGACAGACAGAAGCACGCTCAGTCGGCAAAGCGCTGGTCAGGAACTGGAGGAATCTGAAGCAAGGGGAGGGGGCTCGGGGCTGAGGCTCAGTCTCACTAGATCAGTCCAGGATAAATGGACAGATCTAGAGCAGAAGAAAGAGGGCCCAGGATGCAGGGCATAGGCAGACCCAGGCTCCCAGGCTTACCCTCACACGACGAGCATGCCTACTTCCCCATGGGAATTTAAAGAATATTTTTTCTTTTCCAGACTTTCTCATCATAGCTGCTTCAGCCTGGATTTTCTTTGGTAATAGATGTAAAATTCTTACTTCTTACTCTTCTTACAAGAAAGATCATAGGCCTTGGAACTAGAAATATCTATACTAGAACTCTAGCTCTCCCACTTCCCAGCCATTTAAACACTGCCAGTATTGGTTCCCTTACATGTAAAAGAAGATAATAATTCCTGTCTCAAGTTGTAAGAATTAAATAATATATATTGAGCATATAGTACACCTCCTTCTCCTTTACAAGCTGCCATTTCCGGAATTATGTCTCCTTAGAGAGTAAGATAATTAATAGTCAATCACAAAGAGATCTTAAGATGACACTCTTTTAAGTCCCAGATCAACGCAGTTTTTTCTTAAATTGTAATGGTCCAGGTTTTTTTTTTGTTTGTTAGTTTCTAATGAATTACTTAGATTTGAGCTTATGTGAGGCAAATCAAATATTTCTAGTTAGCAGCAACTACTGGTGGTATATTATGAAGGTCTCTCCTATGACAAAATCATTTGGGTTTCCTTGTCAAACTTCTTGAAGATATCTGGTATTTTGGCACCCTGAGCTTTTCTCTACCCAAATAAGACCTTTAATTAGTATTTGCTATGAAGGTGCACATGTCAGAGCACATTCTGGGAGCTTTGTAGGAGCCTCTGCTTTCCTGTGAGCAAAAAGAACTGGATTCATCATTCCTGTGATTCCCCAAAGGATTCAGGGATGGGGAGTCCAACAGCTAAGCCACTCATTGATGCAGGAACCCAAGACAGAGCTTGGGGTGATCGGATATGCTCTGATTCTCTAGGAATTCTTTCTGAACAGGATACCTGAGGCAGAAGTTTATTTGCTGAGCCCTACTGCTTGCTCTGTGTAGATCAAAGTGAAATTCAGAAAAATACACAAGAGATCTATAGGTTAGTTTTCCATTGGGTTGTATTTTAATGGGACATCTGATATCTGGTTTGTTTACATGAGTGACACCTTTTATAATTCAATTTGAAGTGATTCTGTCCAATACCATTCATTTACAAGAGGAAATCATAGTTGAAGCAGGTCAAGTAAATTTGTCTGAGATTACACAGTTATTCTCAGAGCTGAGATGAGAACTCAGGCTTCTTATCATTTAGAATATAAAATCATTCATTCATGGAAATAACCTGATTAGGAAATGTGCAGAAAATAATTCACAAAGATCCCAATTGATGTATTTTAAAATAGAGCAGTGTACCTACAAAATGAATGACAGTTGTTCTAATAAAACGAATCAATTTTAGGAGAATGAAAGGATGGTTTGGTTTTATTTACTGTCTATATGGACACTTTAGAAAGTGTGTGTATTAAGAAATTGTCCATTCAGAGGAAATATTTTCACAGGAAATACATCAACACATATCTAATGTTGCCATCAGCCTCAAATAGTGGAAATGCTGTTTTTTTAAGAAAAAAATTACAGTACTCACACAAACAGTGCTCAGTATTGTATAAGTATTGTATAATATTACCCACCTGCTTTTTGTAGAGATTTGCTCCAGTTTCTTGGCTAATGTACAGCACTCTTCCTTTAACTTTATCAAAAATGTATTCTGGGAGGTCAGCAATGAATACTGTTCATTTTCTAGAAATAACAATAAACCCCCCACCAATATAAGATGTTTATGGTTGTAACTCTGGAAGGCTTCCATATGTAGACCAGTCAAAGTTCTAAGACCACTACCTATTTCCTATAAGCCACTAGGTCAATTTCAGTGTCCTCAAAGTCAAGGACCACTCACCTGGCAAGACACTAAATTTGGGAAGCATTAATTTTTCTAATAATTACACCCCGGAAACAGTTTGAATCATACCAGCTCGGGGGAACATTTCAACGTGTCGATAAAGTGTCAGATTATGTCAAGTGGAGCCATGGATGCTTATGTCTTTGTAATATGCACGATATTGTATTTTTATTTTGACAATTTCACTATAAACAGTGTCAAGAATGATCACAACTAGATAATTTGCAACTTTAAAATAACAGAGGAACTCTCTTCTATACTGTAATTCTTGCTTTATGTCTCGTATTTGCCCACATATATCTCACTCTCCCCACCTCTTGTATATGCTTCTTTCATTATGAAGGTAAAATAACAAAATTTTCCCTAGAAGTTGGATTTCATTGTCAACAGTACGAGTATCACTGAAGATGTGGTCAAGAATTGAAGAGAGCGTGGGATTTTTGTGCAAAATAAAAGGAGTATTCTTAAGGTGGTCTTAGCCATTAAATCCTCTCACACAGCACTTAGAGATTCTGCCCAAGACTCCTTGATCACTAGAATCCTGCAAGCAGGAGGGGCAAACACTAATTTTTCCTAGAATTTCCTCCTCTTCCTTTTAGTGGAAAAACACCTCCCGAGTCTGGGAAAATGCGGGAGGGTATCATGTGGGTCAATATGACATTTGCCTCTTTATGAGCAAACGGATGACTTAACGGAGGTTACTACCATTTCTCACCTATAGGATGAGCACTCCCTTTTTTACCCTGTCATCAAATACAGCGTGCACGAGATCATGTGAAAATTATCTTTACGTGTCAGGCTTTCTTTCCAATTTCAGCCACTGACTGGCAAAAAGCATAGAGCCTACAAAGCAAAATAAATCAAGGCACTAGAAATTAAGCAACACTTTTCTGGAAGAGGCAGGATCAATTAAACTTTTGTTTTAATAGGACAATCAGCTCAGAGTATGCGGTGTGGAATTATAATGACTGACGCAGTCTTGTTTTGACTCACACTGTCTGTGAACACACAACTCGAAAGTGAAAGGAGCTACAGAACGCTCCAGCTGAACGCATCGAACTGCCTGCTTCGAACAAAAGTGCATTTTACTTTCAAATGAAAGGTAAAGAGTTACTGGCCAACTCCGTCTGCGGAACAGCACCGATGTGATGAAAGATGGCAATTTTTAGCCAAGCTGCCAGCTGTGGTCAATGCCTTGTATTAGTGAATTTTCACAGCGGTTTGAGAACTTGAAGAATGCAAAGGATTAAACATCACTCTAGATTGGGCTGGGGGAGGTGGGGAAATTATACAAATGCTAAAAATGTTCGAAGCTGCAAAGATTAAATAAAGGAACATATCAATTTGGAGCCACTGAATTACATCCAGCTGCGACAGTGAATTAAGAACCGATTAATGGCTAAAGCTTTTCTCCAGTTTGGATGCTGAAGCAAACTCATTAGGCTTTTAGAGGAGCTATAATGTGTGTACTGTGGGAACTGTTCAATGCTATTCAGGAGACTCTCACTGTAAGCTCAGAGCATTTCCCGCAGAGCTTCTGATGCTATTTTTTTATATAACATGTGTGCCTGAAAACCCAGCCAAAAACAAGCCCTTTGTTTTTCTACTTTGTTGTGGTCTCTCTCAGCTTTACGTTTCTTGAACACAGGTAAATAAACTCATAATCCAGATGGTGCAACAGATGTGAGAGCAGCACTCTGAAATCAACAGACAGTGGGCAATACTTTCCATTTTCTCTTTTAAACGCTAACTAATATGTAATTCGGAATCTCCGGTGTAGTTAGCATCTGCTCCCTTCGGCCAGCCAAAGGTTACAGGTGTTCCTGATGTCATTTCACAGTAAGGCGTGGGCCTGGCTTGTGAGCCAGTGCCCAGGCTCTAATCTTTCCTACCACCTACCAGTTCTGTCGTGCTGGGCCTCCATTTGCTGTATCTTCTGTGTCAGCTCCTGCTCTCTTTGCTGGGCCTGAAGGGCTTGGGCCTTTGCTTCGTTGCTGAAGCTCTGCTGAATGCTATCTTTTTCCAGTCTACAAAGCAGAGAGGAGACAGACAGAAATGTAATCTACACACGCACCGAGCCTCACCATTTCCCCTACAGACCACGGAGAGCTGAACGCAGTAAATTGTGAAGCAGAAGATAACAATCTTTGTCAGACCCCCTGTCCCCCCCCCCCTCCACCTTCCCAGCTCCCTCTTCCCTCCCACCATCCCCCCATCCACCCTGGCCCCCTGGGGGGAGGAGAGCCAAAGGGCCTTTCATGCTGTGTTTAATACATGCCATAAATCAAAACAGATTCAAGGATACAACTTTAAAAATCAAGAAATCGTGATATCCGAATACTGGTATTTCGTAACCTGAAAACACAAACCTCCTTTTCAGTAAGACTGTCAACATTCTGGGCCACCATTCCGGGCCACCATTCCGTGTTTTAACTTTTGAACGGTCCATATTTCCTACAGATCTTGCAGTGCTATGAACGGCACAGTTCAATACACCACAACTTAAATTCTTGAAACTCAGCTTTGTAGACCACCTCTGCTTTTCCTCCCCAACTTAAAATGGAATCTCAGATAGAATGTAGGGGATCCTATCCAGGAGCAGGGAAATGGTTCTGCATTTTTCGTTAAACATTTTCACATACTAGGCCATGTAATGGGAACAGAAATCTGACTACGAGCACGAGTAACTTCCCCCAGCACTTCTTAAAAGACCCCTTTGGTTCACATTGAGGCACGTTTGCAGGATGAGAATATTCCACAGTCCAAGACGATGTGGTCCCCGTGGTGATGGGATGACCGACCCAGTGAGATGGGTCATTCTGCTCCTAAAGTGTTTCCTAAAGACAGAAAGTGCCTGAACAGCTAGAAGACAGGACCACGCCTCTGACAGCGACACTGGCCGCCCCCCACACATTAGGTTGGTTCCTTACACTCTAAACACAGGTAAGTGAAACGAGGGTTTCCTTTAATTAACTGACTTAGTTATTTCTAACTCCTATCTCCTCGTGGGCATTTCTCATCCGTGCTGTTTTAGTTTACTAATTGAGATATTTACTGCCTTGCCTTTGCCAAACTAAAAATAAACAATTCCATAAAGCTATCACTAGTCGTCTACATACCGCTGTGGAGCGTCGATTCATTGGCTTCTAATTATAAAGCAACATAAGGAAAGTCTGTATTGAAACTGGTCAACGCATGCGGTAATGTTGTAGTATAAAAGTTCAGGAGGAATCTATACCCATACCTCACTCAAACGGAACATTAAGAGTCCACGCTAAATGTGAGAGAAGGTCCCTTCTGGTGCATCTAATAACAGCCCCCCCTTGGACTTGCTCCAGGGTCTTCCCCCACACTCAGTTCCAAACCGGTATATTGCAACAGATACACTAGGCCACTCTTTGCCTTCCCAGTCACACCATGCGTCTTCTGCCCATGGATCACTGCATATGTCTCTTTGTTTTCCTGGGATGGCTTCCCCCCTGCGTCCTGTTCCTCCCTTGCACCCCTACGCCCACCCCTGTCCCTCTGCTCAGTGAACACTACTCCTTTAAGGTCTGCTCAAAATTCTCCCCTCTCCTTCCATTCTTTCCGAAATTAAGTATTCTTTCCTTGATGACCTTAATATATGTTGTAAATGAATACATCCCACTAAGACGGCATTTGTCACACTTGACTTACTGCTTCTTGTCATCTCTGTCTCTCTAAATCCGGAGCCCGGCTCAGGATTGGCACACCAGCAGCGGGCAGTGAATGCTTAATGAATGAATAGATGTTCTTAGACCCTTGCCATTGGGGAAGGGAAGATGCTGTCTTTACCGAGCCTGGAGAATCTGCTCAAGGCTAGAATGAGGAGGCAAAAACTTTTCAGACATGTCAAAGAGAAGAGTGCCTGGAAGAGAGTGGTTCTAGTGGCTTCGCCAGCTGGAGACCATGCTGCGCAAGGAATCAGCCTAAAAAGAGCACTGTGGACTCTTCCACTGAGGGACCACCCCGAGGTCAGACCCCTGGTTACAGGCAGGGAGATGTGAGGCTCTGAGACCACTAATAACCAGGTAGCTGGACAGTGCACTGCTCAAAACCAGCATCCATTGGAGAGTGAAAAGGAGCGCTACTGCTAATCACATCAGGACAACAGCCATAATCGGGGCCACCCTTTGCAAACCAGGGCTATGGTTCTCTTGCATAAAGGGGTTGCCAGTCTTAACATCAATTTTTAGCATGAGAAGTTACCTCATAACTGATATTCTAAATTGACTATGGAAAAAATAACTATCGTTATCGTAGTTCTCCTTATAAAATAAGACAATTTAAAAGGATGCTTACTGAGTGGGGCACCTGGGTGGCTCAGTGGGTTAAGCCTCTGCCTTCAGCTCGGGTCATGATCGCAGGGTCCTGGGATCGAGCCCCACATTGGGCTCTCCGCTCGGCGGGGAGGCTGCTTCCCTCTCTCTCTCTGTGCCTGCCTCTCTGCCTACTTATGATCTCTGTCTGTCAAATAAATAAATAAAAATCTTAAAAAAAAAAAAAAAAGAATGCATACTGAGAAGGCTAGGTGATCCAGTCATGATCCTGGGGTCCTGGGATGGAGCCCTGTGTTGGGCTCCCTGCTCACCAGGAAGCCTGCTTCTCCCTCTCTCTCTGTTCCCCACCCCCCACCCAACTTGTATACAAGCTCTCTCTCAAATACATAAATAAAATCTAAAAAAAAACTCAATGCTATACCAACAAATGTTGTATCATACACCGAGTTTTGTTTCTTGAGTGCTTCTCCAATTTTTATTCTATTTAAGAAACATGTTGTTTTGTAATTTTTAATTGAGGTATAATTGACATATAACATATTAGTCTCAGTTGTACAACATAATGGCTCGATATCTGTACATAGTACGAATGATCACCTATAGTCTAGTTAACATTTTTTTTCACTGCATAAAAACACAGCATAGCTTTACTTTCCTATTTCCTCCCTCCAGCCCCCTTTCCTTCTGTGTTGCCTTCTCCCCTCGCAAGTTCTTTCTGACATAGTAGGCTTTTTATAAAACCTTAGAATGTTAGAACTGAAAGGGAATCTCAAATCTGTTTAATCAAATCCTCTCACATTACAGCTGAAAGAAGACACAGGCTCGAAGGTTGCATTGTAAGTGATGTGAAGGCAGAGGTGGGATTTGAAATATTCTGATTTAGGGAAGCCTATTTTATGGCGCTCCAGAGGCAATGCAATGGTGGATTGAAAGAATTAATAAAAACCACTTATGTATCCAAGGGAGGGATTAGAGAAGAACCCAATTCAATTCGTTTAATATTTATCATAACTCTTATTATGTGAAAGGCACTCTGCTAGGCACTGGGTCAAACAGAGATAAATATGGCAGAGCCCTTGTTCCCGACAGGGACTTCAAAATGGCTAAAATCGGAAGCAGAAGGTGGAACACACCAAAAGAAATCTACAAGGGGGAAAGCTACCGAAGCAAAGAAAATGAGAGGCCAGTGCCAGCTGGGTGGGAGAGCAACAGGAAGGGTGGCTGTACTAGTCTCCCCCAACTGGGTTCCTTTCAGCTCTCACTCAGAACACTGACGATCTCGCTTAATCAAACTTGTAGTTAGCCGTCTTTTATCAACTGGAATAAAAGCGATGGCAGTAAGGAAGAATTTCTTGGTTGTGGTTAAAACAAGGCTGAAAGATTTAGCCATAATAGCTAAAAGCTGGAAACAATCTAAATGCCCACTAACCACTAGCTGGTTAAACTGGTGGTATCGCCTTGTGGGGCTACTTGGACTTGTAGGAATAAAAAGGAACAGCTACTGTAAGTAGCACACACGGGTGGGCCTCAAAGGCAGGATGCTCCGTTAAAGAAGCCAGACCTGAAAACATATTGTATGATTTCATTTACATGACATTCTAGAAAAGTAAACACTAGAGCCGTAGGACCTAAGAACAGGGGGTGTGTGTGAGGGAACGAAGGGGCATGAGGGACATTTGGGGTTGACAGAAGTGTTCTGTGTCAGGATTATGATGGTTTCACCTCTGTATATATTTCTCAAAATATTTTTTCTTGCACACCTACAACTGGTGATTTTTATTATATTTAAATTTACCTCCATAGAGCTGATTTTAAAAAGGAGCAAAGGCAATAGAATAGGAACATCTACCGTCTTCTCCAAGTTATTCACCATCACCAGTGGCCATATGTGGGCATGTCCACGTTTTCTTGATGACAGTCAATAGTTAAAGGAAGTACACAAGCACTGGACAGTCCTCGAACATGGATAAGTACACAGAGAGGTGCTGTCACTCCTTTTTTCCAATGACAGTTTGGGCTCATTATAGTCTCTAAAAATGTCTGCAATGATATTTACCATCCCATTAAAGAAATGGACTGAAGAATTCACTCTATGTTTTTGATCCTCAACTTTTTGTATCATTTATTATTTTAAATCCTGCTATTTTTAAAATGTTCATATCACAGAGCAAAAATGACTTATTAGATTTTTTTAAGGACATTCTAAATTTTATAGCAACATTGAAGGATTAAAAGTTTCTGATGATCCCAGGCGCCTGGGTGGCTCAGTGGGTTAAGCCTCTGCCTTTGGCTCAGGTCATGATCCCAGAGTCCTGGGATTGAGCCCTGCATCGGGCTCTCTGCTCAGCAGGGAGCCTGCTTCCTCCTCTCTCTCTGCCTGCCTTTCTGCCTACTTGTAATCTCTGTCTGTCAAATAAATAAATAAAATCTTTAAAAAAAAAAAAGTTTCTGATGATCCTAAAGTTCATCGATGAGTCTAGGACAGAAATGATAAAGGCTTCAAGTCTAACACAAGCATGGGGCCTATAGCAGTGGTGATTTGAGGCACCAATCCCATATGCCATGATTCTAGTTACCTTTTGACTAGGGCTGAAGTTGGAGTATTAAACATACAACCCTTTTGGTGAAATGGTGTTTCCCTTCCAAAGTACAATACCCAGAGCTCTGTGACAGTAGAATACTGGTATGACAAAATTATGAGGCATAACATGCTTACCAGCTGAGAG